CTCTCCCTCTCCCTCTCCCTCTCCCTCTCCCTCTCCCTCTCCCTCTCCCTCTCCCTCTCCCTCTCGGCCTTGCTTTCCCTCCCATAGCCAAAGGGGCCAGAGGATGAGCAAGAACTGGGATCTCAGGGAAAACCAGGTAGCCGGAGGGACCCTCCTTTGCCCAACTGCTCTGCTTCAGCCTTCAGAGCCTGGGTCCCCCCTGGATCTCCTGTCTAGGCTACCTTGTCCCAAGCTGAGAGTCAGCAGAGAGCAAACATTGCCCCTGCTTCGACCTGCTTTGGGGGGTGGCCCCACCAACCCTGCAAAGTTCAGGCTGTGTTTGGCTGCTGTCGACCCACGGAAGAGGGGCGCCAGTTGGCATGATTGCCTCCAAAGGGGAAGCAGAGACATTTCGGGAGATGGGTTGGGGACAGTGTGCCTGGCAGTGTGAGCCTGGTAGTGTCAGAGCCTGAGCGAGCCAGCGTTGTGGAAAGGAGATGCATTTTGCATGTGTGTGTGTTGTGCACATGTGCGCACCTCTTTTTTTTTTTAAGATTTATTTATTTACTTATTCATGAGAGACACAGAGAGAGAGGCAGGGACATAAGCAGAGAGAGAAGCAGTCTTCATGCAGGGAGCCCAACGTGGGACTCGATCCTGGGACTCCAGGATCAGGCCCTGGGCTGAAGGCAGACGCTCAACCACTGAGCCACCCAGGCACCCCACATGTGCACACTTCTTTGCAGACATTCATCCTGTGTCTATTGTGTTGCGTGTCGAAAGGCAGGGCCCTTCCCTTTGATACATTAGGAAGTGGGGTGGGCGGTATATAGGGGATGGGTGACTGTGGCACAGTGGGAGGGAGCCAGTTCCAGCCCGGGAGGGACCTCTCTGAGCCTTAATTTCCTTCTCTGTAAAATGGGGACAATAGTTTTTACATTATAGAGACATTTGGGAGGACTGAATGAAATGACACCTCTGAAAATCCCTGGTCCGTGGGAGTTGTTCCAGTACGTGTTGGTTTTCTTCCTTCCTTCCTTCCACTGCAAACTTCCTGCAACACCCAGCACAGAATGGCTGCACTCCCCAGCTATTTGTGGATGATGTTTTTGGCAGATGTTGTTTAATTCTTATAACATCTGGTTTGGAAAGGCAGAGGACTGGAGTTTTGTTTTTTTTTTAAGACACTCACTCACTGGGAGGTGTCAGATTGTCACTTAATTGCCCTGTGCCTCGGTTTCTCCACTTGTAAATCAGGGATAATGCTGGCAGTGCTGACTAGCTTCTTTGCAGGATATGGTAGGCTAACGCAGGATAACAGATGGAAAGTGCTTTGAACATTTAGAAAAAGGCATCGTGCTCAACCTCACTAGTAGTTAGGGAAATGCAAATGAAAGCAGCAATGCCATACCATTTTTCATGCGTCCGATTGGCAGCCATTTAAAAGAGGGATCACTTCCAGGTGGGCACAGAGGTCCTCTCATGCTCTGCCGGAGGGAGAGGCAATTGCCACAACCTTTCCAGAACGGAACATGGCCATGTCTGCTAAAGGTTTACATACATGCTCGGTGTTGTAGCTCATCAGCCCAGTAATGCCACAGCTGGAGAGCCACGTTCAGGAGCTACCCAAGTCCTCACACAACGACATGCGGGGTGGGAGGGGGGCTGTTGTGGCCTTGCCTGCGGTGGTGGGAACCTGGAAACGCCCACATGCCCAACAGTAGGGGATGCTTGTGTCTCTCACCTGCACATCCGCACTCTGAACTACAATTTGGCTCCTAAAGAGGAGGGTGTCGATGGAGCAGTGTTGACCTGGAGGGTCATCCGTGAAATATCATGATGTGAGAAAAGCAAGTTTCTTTTGTGTAGAGGCAGACTCCATTAGTCTAAAGATAAACACAGCCGCACTGCTCCATACGTGTGTGTAATGTGAACATGTTTGCTTGGGTGCGGAGGAGGGCCTGGTCGGATGTGTGCCCAGCCCAGCCTGTCCACTCCGGCCATCAGACACGTCCTGTTAGGCTCATAAAAATGAAATTATTTGCCAACATTTAACAATTGAATTCAGATAAAAAGCCAGATTGCCGGGTTTTCGTTGAGAAGAATCAGGAGCTCTGGCCACACTGGGCCCGCGCCCCATCCGTTCCCTCTTGGCTGGAACACATCAGTGGCTGCCACTTTTGGACAGAGCCTGTAGCTTCTGAGTGGCCATCGTCCCCACCCACTGGCATCTCCCTCATTTATATTCCTGGCCTGGTCCCTATAGCATATCGGTTCATAACCCTGTGATGGGCTGTTAACGTCCCGAAGCTCAAGGGGGTGGAAATACAGGAATCTATGGTGGAGGGGGGCATCTTTTATTATTTAAGTACATCTTGGAATCTTTTATTCTTCAAATTTCTGTTTCCTGCCTAGTAATCAGGCCGTTTTTAATACGGTGTTAGGAGGGTTGAAACCAGGGGGCGTCACAGGCCACGGCATGGTGTGTATGGCAGGAACTCTGGCCCCATCATGTCATAGGCCACTCAGGGCCCCGAGGTGACAAAGGCTGCTCCAGGTCTGGAGTTCAGGGATCAGACCTTGTGACTCATTTGGAATCTCTCGCCCCTAGATCTTGCAGAGATGGATCTTTGCAAAGAAAATCTTTGCAAGGAAGGCTTTCCAAAGATCCCTGCCCTTCAGCTCCCGTTCACCTCCCTGTGTTTTTCCTGATCACTCATCGCCCAGGGGGGTGGTGCTGGACTTGGGTCCAGATTCTGACCCCTGCACCCATTAGCCAGGAGTCTCTGAGCAAATTGTGGAACTAAAGGATGATGTGCGGGCCCTTGGCTAGGTAGGCCCTGAGGCGATGCAGAGGTGAGTGCGCTGTGTCCCTGCACCAACAGGGCTGGCATTTTCGGGACAGGCAGGGGTTCCCAACTGAGCAGCGGGTCCCTCCCGTGTCACTGCTGGTCTCTGGGAGGCCCGTCCCTGGGCTGCTGCAAGGGTAAGGAGGAGCCAGAGAACAGTGACCCTGCTGTTACGGGGCCACTGCGGTGGTGGGAGGCGCAGCCACCCTCCCCGACACCCTTAGAGGTGGGATCTCACCTGGCTGTCCTCAGGGGGGGGGGGGCAGATCTCTCTGGAGCGTTGCTCTGGGCCCCTAGGAATTTGGCCTCAGCTTCCCCACAGGCTTGCTGTGGAGCCCTGTGCGTTACTTTCCCTTTCTGTGCCTCTTTGTACACCATGGCCGCTGCCTCATTTCATATCCGAGTTTATGAGATAATACAGTGATATAAAAAGTGGGAAAAGACAGGCCCATTGGGCACTTGGGGAGGGGACCCGGGGTGTTGGGCCTGCCAGCCCTTCTCTTTGACCCCTGACTTCACACTCAGCACCCATCTCCTATCCCTGTCCCCAGACTAACCAAGCCCCCTCACTCCTGGGGCTGCCCAGGCAGCCAACCCCTCGTCCCGCCAAGCCCCAAATGCCTCAGTCACGAGTTTCTGTGCCGGCTGCTGAGCTTGCTCCAGGGTGGGGGCTGGGGGGCACCATTGCCACCGCCCCCAGCCCAGGCCACTGTGTCATACCCAGCCCCGGACGATGATGAAACCCAGTGATGCAGACCCTCTCTTCTTTCCCTGCTGTGCTCCCCTCCTCTCCTCCCCACCCCCCATGTGAGTTGATTCCCCTTCCTCTTCCTGGGGCCTGATCTCCCTGGAGCTGCAGGGGTGGGGAGGTGTAGGAGGGGCTCAAAGAGCAGGCTTCTCACCCTCTCCTTCCTTGTGTCCCTAGGAGCCATGAGGTGCCACGTTGCCACCAGCTACCTCGTAGGCTGGCTGTTTGTGCTGATCTCTGGATGCTGGGGTAAGTCCAGCCCTCTGCCCTTCCCACCCTGTGGGGTTTGTGCTCTGGGACAGGGGTTGGGAGAGGGCTGCAGACCTTGCCTGGCTGTGCATACAGCCCTGTGACTGGGCACACATTTCCCTCTCTGGGCCTCAGTTGTTTTTTTCTTTTTCTTTTTTTTTTAAGATTTTATTTATTCATGATAGACATAGAGAGAGAGGTAGAGACACAGGCAGAGGGAGAAGCAGGCTCCATGCCCAGAGCCTGATGCAGGACTCGATCCCAGATCCCAGGACCATGCCCTGGACCAAAGGCAGGCGCTAAACTGCTAAACCGCTGAGCCAGGATCCCCTGGGCCTCAGTTGTTTCTGCAGCACTCACAGGGCTGAAAGTACCAGCCTCCCCATGAAGGGAGGGGAGGAGCCTTAGAAATAGGTGAGCTCTAGGGGAAGGAGGCATGGGTGCCGGAACCGTCCTTGCGGGATGTGGGGACTGGCCGGTTCTCTTCAGTTTCACAGTGGCCCTTTGAGCACCTGCCGTGGGACACTGTGTGTGTCTGCTATCCCCAGTGCTGGGGTGTGCAAGCAATGGCTTGTGAGCTCCAGGAGTCCAGAACCAACCGGGGGTGGAGGTGGGGGTGGGAGGGGACACAGCTAGGATTTACTACATGGAATGCAGGGAAGCGAGTGGGAATACAGGAGGAGCAGCTCCAGAGAAGCCCATCAGGAGAAAAGACTCGTTGGGCCTGCGGGGACAAGTGGGACCCAGACAGAGGGAAACATTTACTCGGGGCTTTGAAGACTGAGAAGAAGCTTTAGGGGAGCAGGAGGAAGGGAATCCCAGAGGAGGGAACAGCTTGAGCCTAGGTGTGGCGGTGAGGAGCCCTTTCCCCTTGCAGGGAGGACCTGCCCTCCTTGCCCTGGCACTGGCGGCAGCCAGATCGGCGACAGCTCCGGTGCCCGTGGAGGAGGCCAGGAGAGACCCGGCCATCTTCCTGTCCCTTGGCTCCCGGACAGCTGGTGGCCAGGAGCAAAGCAGCTCTGGGCCGTGCTGAAGGAAGGCCAGGACCGCAGGCAGGGCTGGCACAGTGTCCCCTGGGGCCAGGGTGTCCCTGGGGAAGAGCTACAGGCACGGTGTGCCTGGTGACACGGGCAAACACATTTCTGAGTGAGGCCAGGTCCTTTGATAACTCTAGGGAGCCAGGGAGTCTCTGGAGGAAGCCAGCCTGGTGCAGGCTGCCTGAGAGCCCCCCAGAGGTCCCCTCTGCTGGCCACTGAGTTTGGAAGGGTCTCTGCTGGCCTGCCTCTGTGAGGGGGGGCTCACTTCCAGTCGGGCAGCCCGGGCTTACCACAGAGCCTCACAGAGTCTCGGGGCAGAGCCAGAGGGGCTCTCAGACCCTCTCAACCCCTTGCCGATGTTGCAGAGATAGGGACACCTGGAAAAGCAGCTGGCCCAAGGGCATGCAGAGCGGGGCGTGGCTGAGCCTCAGTGCGGGTCTCTGATCCTCCTTGGGGAGCTTTGGTCAGGGTACCCCTCTGAGCCCCATGCGGGGAGGCCTCAGCGGGGGCAGCTGACACAGCTCTGACCCTCTGGCTCTGCCGAATACTAGAAGGACACTCTCCCCTGCCTCCCCAGGGGCTCCAAGACCTTGGCCGCTTGCGCCCTTCCCCCTCTGTTCAGAACAAATACAGGTGTAAAAATAAAACAGGCGCTGAGAGCTTGGCTGTATCCTCCGTAGAGGTGGCATTTTCCTCCTGAGCTCTGGGGATGCAAGAAGGCTCGTGCATCTCAGGTGGGCCCCAGGGAGCAGCACCAAGCCAGGACTCCTGGGTTCCAGCCCCACTTCTCCAGTGGCCTCCCTTGGGGGGGCATCCTTAGCCTGTCTGGCCTTCAGCTTTTTTATCTCTAAAGTCAGAAGGACAACAGGACTCCCCTCCTTCGGTTGTCAGGATGATCCGTTGGGTTAACGCACCTATCAAGCACGGAGAATAGCTCCCGGCCCGTATTAGGTGCTAAATAAGGGTTAGCTCTTTGATCAGGAGCTGTATCTTTCTCTGGGGGATGCAGAACGGGGCACAGGAAACAGAAAAGTTAAGTGAGTTGCCTGAGAGCACCCAGCAACTCTGGCAAAACCAGCTCTCAGAGTTGGGGGGGGGTTAGTCTGCTTTGCATGTATGTGAGGGGCGCGGTCTCTCATACTGGGTACAGTCCCTTCTTCCCGGTCCCTGTCCGAGATGGCCAGCGTTGTTCCTTTGGCTTGGTGAGACCATGGCTGACTTAGGGACTGAAGGACACCATCTTCGCACCTTGCCCTTCCAACACCAGCTCCTGACCCCTAACCCTTCCCTTGTCCCCCAGACCATCCCACATTACCTCTCCCCACCTTGCATCTGCCCCGCAGCCCTAGTGGGTCTCTCCTCCCATCCTGGGTGCTCAGAGGTGGGTCAGGCTCACGGCCTAACCACCCCGCCCCTCAGATGTCAGACCCCCTCGTCAGCCCGTCATCTTCTCTCTGCCGAAGCTTGCTACCCTTCTCCGTCTGGCCTCAGTGTGTTCCCCATCTGCGGGCCGGTCGGGAAGGCAGGAGGTGAAGGCCTGAGTCTGGCCTGGCCTCTGAGTACCCTGCCAGGTCATGCCGTTGGTCCCCAGGCCTGAGGGTCCTGACGCTGGGGCTACCCGACAGCAGCGTGTCAGGCTTCTGACCCCCGGGCTCCCGTGGACCACCCTGCAGCCACAGTGACGCAGTGCACAGGACGCCCCTGGCGGGGAGGCGGGTGAGAGGGCAGGGCAGGGCTTTTTCCCTGAGGCTTAGAAATGGGGGCCAGAGAGACAGAGAGCTTTACCTAAGGCCGCACAGCAGCGACTGGCAGAGGATGTAAGGCCCCTACATTTGTCCTCTCTGCCCGGGGTTCCTCCCTTGTCATGCCCCCCCCCCATAGGGGTCTCCAGCCCCTCCATGAGCAATCAGACACCTGGGGAGGCAGGTGTGGGCTGGATTCAGGCCCAGCTGCCTCAAGGCTCTGCCATTTGCCAAGGTTTGTCAGGCCCAAAGAGGAATCCCCCACCCCACAACTCTGAGGAAAGTCAGGGCTTCCTGGCCTGGCATCCCCAAATTGCGCCTGATGCCAGGCATTCTGGGATCAGGTGCCCGGGGCCAGGACACTGCCCTCCTCCACGCCCTTCCCGAATCTCTGTCGTTGGGATGTTGTGTTCTCCGGAGCCTCCCCGCTTCCTCGTCCCCCCCGGGCCTGTGGTTAGAAGCAGGACACTGCGCGGCGGCGTTTGCGGTGTTCCAAGCTGGGGGGTCCCCGGGAGCTGTGCAGGGGATGATCAGTGTGAGTGGCCAGGAAGGTGGGGAGAAGCCACCAGGGCAGAGCAAGCAGAGGACGTAGACTCATGGGGGTCGGGTGTGTGGGGTGGGCGGGGGTCCGGACAGAGGAGTGGGTCATGGGCACCCGAAGCTGGGACTCTCCATCACTGAAGACCCCTGTGTCCCCATCACCTACCACACGCCCCCTCCTGATCTGTCCCCAGGTGCTCCACTGGCAGCCCAGGGCCACAGGGCCCCCGGGGGCAGTAGGGCTGTTCTGAGAACATGGGCCCTGCTTGGTATGTGGCAGGGGACACCTCCCCCCGAGGCCCTGCCAGCTAGCTACTCGTGTGTGCGGTGCTCTCCGCAGCTGATTATCGGCAGGTCCTGTAAAAGAAAATTCTAAAATGAATAATGCTGCTGCAGGCGACGGTTTTCCTCACTGGTGTCCCTCCCCCTGCTGCCCAATCCCTCCCCTGTATTCTCTGGACACCCCGAGCCTTCTGCCTGGGTTCAGCCTGAGTCCCCTCCTGGAGCCCAAGGCTCCGCTTGGTGATCCAAAGCATGCCCTTCTGGCTGAGTGGGTGGCACTGTTAATGCCAATATTAGGGGATCCCTGTATGGCTCCGTGGTTTAGCACCTGCCTTTAGCCCAGGGCGCGATCCTGGAGTCCAGCGTCAGGCTCCCTGCATGGAGCCTGCTTCTCCTTCTGTGTCTCTGCCTCTCTCTCTCTCTGTGTCTATCATAAATAATTTTTTAAAAAATCTTAAAAAAATACCAATATTAATAGTAGCTCCTATGTATCCAGTGCTTGCTGTGTGCTAGGGCATGGATAAGCGTGTGTGTGTGTGTGTGTGTGTGTGTGTGTGTGTAATCTCACTTAATCCTCAGGACCACCATGAAGTAGTAAGTCTTACTGTTGCTATTTTACACCTGGGTAAACTGAGGCATGGGACAATCATGTGGCTAGAAAGAAGCCCAGTGACATTCCGAACAAAGGCAAGACCGCTGACCGTTGGCCTCTTTCTGAGGCTGTTATGTGAGTGAGGGGCTCTGGATTCCTGATCTGAGATGGGGGAGGAATGTGTGTGAGTGCAGGTTTGTAGTGATGGTGATCGAGGAGGGCTTCCTGGAAGAAGAGGCGTCTAAGATGAAACTTGAAGGATGAATAGGAATTGGACAGGTAAAGGCCAAAGGGTCAGCAGTCCCAGCCAGGACGTGAGACAGTGGCCAGAAGGTTTGAGGAATCAGAAATGGCATCATTCTGAGCAGATTTAGGGGGAGGAGGAAAAGATGCCCCTCTGCCCTCTGCCCTACCAGCCATAAATCAGGGGTTCCTGGGACCCCACCCCCCCATCCTCAGGTTTGATCAGCTAGACCGACTCTCAAAACTCAGGGAGGCACTTGGCTTACATTTGCTGGGTTAATACAAAGGGTACGACCTAGGGTGGCCCATGGGAGCGGGGCGAGGGCAGGATGGAGCTGCCCTGTGCTCTCCAGGTACGCCACCCTCCCAGCACGTGGACACCTTCAACCTGGACACTCATCAGATCTCCAGCCCCCTCCCCTCCCTGGAGGTCCGGGGGGGGGGGGGAAGCACCCACTCTCTAACCAGTAACCTCCCTCTAACCAGTTGGTCTTTCTGCCCACCAGCCCCACCCGGGGTCCTCACGGTCCCATAAACTCAGCTGTGCTCCACCAGGGAGCATATAAAGGACAAAAGACATTCCTCTTGCTCTGGAAATTCTAAGGAGTTTTGAAGCCCTGGGCCAGGAACTGGGACAAAGACCGAACGTATTTTTTATTATACTACACTACTGAAGGCCATGAAGAGGGGGTTTCGGGGGACAGGTGAAGCCGGCCTTGGGGGGCCTCACACGGGGGACTCATGGAACAAAGGGTATCTTCGGAGTCACTAAATTCCTCAGTTCATGCTGGTCCCACCCCAACTCCTTCCTGACCTGGCCGTTTCCCCAAGCCCATTAGGGTGGGGTATGGAGCCAGCCACCCAGGGACCCCCAAAGGCCTGTGCCACTCACTCATCCTGGACAAGTTACTACTTATTCCCTACAAGCCTTGTTCTTCTCCACAGTGAGACGGAGAGATGATAAGCCCCGCCGTACTGTGAAGGTGGATGGAGGGGCATGTCAGTGGCCAGAGCGGCGGAGGGTTCTGGAGATGGCAGTGGTGGCTGTTCATCCTGTGGGGTGGGCTGGCTGGCCGCTCCTTCACACGACAAATACCAAATACCTACTGAGGGCTCCCGAGTGCCACGCCTTGCCCTGGCCACCAGGCTCGTAGCCATGGAGGCACCTCACCCGGGGCCCTGACACGCTCGTGTGCCATCTGCAGCCAAGCAGCCCGATAGGGATACAATGCGTGTGTGAGTTGAGATTTTTCTAGGACCCACACTAGAAAAGAAACTCATTTAAATAAGAAGTTTCACCCAATATATCTGCAATATTTTTATTTCAACACATAATCAATATAAAAGGTTAATGGGATATTTTACACCCATTTTTTCATAGAAAGTCTTTGAAATCCTGCGTGTATTTTATGCATTGGCGTGTCTCAGCGTGGCCCGGGAAATAATGGCCACATGGAATTAGTGGCCTTGCTGACCATTCACCCTCCCTACCGGCATTATTTCCCACTTACCCAGAGGCAGGATGGTGACTTGCTGAGGTCCTGGGAAGGTGGCCGTGGCACTGGACCCAGGCTCATGCTCTCTGCAGCCCCTACTCTGTGTCTCCTTACAGAAGCTGGCATGAGGGTACTTGCCTGACACTCTTGTCCTCTGACTTCCAGGCCAGGTGAACCGACTGCCCTTCTTCACCAACCACTTCTTTGACACATACCTGCTGATCAGCGAGGACACGCCCGTGGGTGAGTTGGCGCAGGTTCTGTGGCTGGGCATGCCGGGAGGTATGGGGTGGGCTCCTCTCCCCCCAAGTGAAGGGGCTCTTAGAGATTGAGCCCATCTTCCACCCATTATTGGAGCCTCTTGCATGGTGTCTCTGATGGGTGTTCATATGGCCCCTCCTTGGTTGTCCCTGGGGATGGGACGCTCAGTATTTCCCGGGCTGTTCCTCTTCCAACATAGGGGAGTTCTGAGTGTCCAAGGATTTATCACACTGAGCCCAAGTCACTTGACTTTCACTTCTGCACTAGTTTTGTTCTACAGAATGGCTCGTTCCTCTTCTTTGTGATAATTTAAAGACGCCGGCTGTCAGAGAGTTTGTTTCATAGCCTGCGCTTTTCCATGGTCATTGGGTTTTCTGCGCAGAGTGTGCCTGTTTTTGTCATGAGGAAAACAAAATTAACTATTTAGGAGGTGATCACAAGCTGCCCCTTCCACCCAGCTTGAATCCCCTCATGACCCGGCTCTGACCCCATGATCTTCTTCCTGGGTGCCTGGCTTCTACACCTGCAACTGAAGGTGTGCACCCATAGCCCCATGGCCTTCGCTCAGCTCTGGGGACCAGAAGCTTCTTAAGAAATGGGGGTTGAATTGGACAAACCCATCTTGCAGCTGTGCTGACAGGAAGATGCTCGTTCCTACGAGCATGCGTGCAAGCAGCAGTGCCTGGAAAAGTCCCTCGCACCTCTATCCACACTGCCTCCTCGGTCCTCATTCTTACTGGTGTCGTTTTAGGGAAAGTGCCTGCCATCTGGGGCTTCTTCAGCGCAGGTGTGCCTACCCCATGGGTCTAGGGGTGGGGCTGTGCAGCAGAAGCAGCGTGCATCTGGGGTTGGCGTAGTGCGTCTTTCTGGAGCATCGCTTGTCCTTGAGAATAAAGTGGGATGGTCTAGATTGGGGAGGGGTGTAAAGATATTTAACTCAGAGGACATTTTAAACACTCTTTTATGTAAAACCAAGTATAGATATCTGATAGAGTAGATGGTGAAATTCTTCAAAGAAAATCTCTGCTTCAAGAGGGGAGCCTTAACAGGCCCCAGACTCTCTCCTGCTGTTGCTGGTGGCATGACAGCAGCCCCCTAAGAGGTCTTCCTCTCCGTTCTTCCTGGTGGAAGCTTTTATCCAGGTGGGTGCGGGGCATAGCAGGTGTATTTCTGACTATTGTGGGGATTATCCCCACGGTCCAGTGGCATTTCATTTCTAGGGCCCATGGGGGGCCTCTGTGGAATGTGGCAGCTCTTTAGGTGACTAGCAGCCCCCATGGATCAGGAATGAAAGGCTGGATTTGTGGATGTAGGTATTTAAAGGGTGGTCCGAGAAGGAGGCTGCCTGCCTCTCTGGAATGTTCTTCTACAGGCTTACCACCTTCTGGAGGATAGAGAGGGTACCTAGAAGTCTCTTGGAGATGCTGCTGAGCTGTTTCCTCCCCTCTGGGTTGTGTCAGGGCATGTATATGGACTTCTCGATTCATCTGGGGTTTCTCCCCACAGCCCAGGCCCAGCATGGGGCTGATGCAGAGGTAGGATAGTAGGTGCCTAGCATATGTGGCTCAGCAAATGAATGAATGTTAGCAGCCTTTATTATCATTAGAGGCTCTTTCGGTTCATTCAGCAGTTTATCAGATATAGAGGATGTGCACCCTCTGTGCTGGGGCCTGGCTGCCATGCACCCAGACAGGAATTGGACGGAGGGATAAAGAAGTCAGTGCCACAGTGATGGGGGCTGGGCTAGATGTCTGATTAAGTCCCAGTGGAGGATTGAAAGAGAAAGGGGTGTTCCTCAGGGGACAGAGCAGAGGCAGGAGGAAGCAGGAAAGGTTTTTGGGAGGTGGTGGCCCTTGAGCAGGGTCCCGAAAGGCTCCCTTTCTGTTCCTTCACACGCTGTTTCCTGCAGCTAATCTTTAGAAGTGTCTGTTCTAACCCCGTCATTCTGGACATTGCTTCATGTTGGAGGGAATCTATTTGGGACAGGTAGGCCATTGAGGCAGAGGTGTGGCCAGCCACTAATGGACCAGAGCTGCGGGCCAGGAGACGTGAAGGCTGCTCTCAGGTGTGCGGTGCTGGCTCCGCCACCCCATCCGTGACCCTGCCCAGCCCCGAGTATGGGGTTCTTGGAGGCCTGTGGCGCGGGGAAGGTGGTGGGGTGTGGCGGATGTTGCTTGGCCAGTGCTGATGGTCATAAGCCCTAGGCTGGACGCCCCCACCCCAGTGAGCCCTGCAGCAGGCCCCGCTCTAGTTACCTTTGGCTCTGGCTCTTGATTGTCTTCTGCAAACGCTAGCATCGATCGGCTTCCCGGAGCAACTCCTAGGACATGGCCCCATTAAGGCTGTGCTTGGCAGTCACAGCAGGGGCGTCCATCTGGTGCAGTGGGGATTGATCCCTGGCTCTAGGGGACCGTAGGAATGAGAGAAGGCTCAGTGAGCTGGAAGACAGCTCTGTTCATCTCTCCAGGCAGGGGCTGCTGCAAAGCTGGCCCATACCCTCCTGGCGTCCTCCCTTCCCCTGGCATCAAGATGGGGCAGGAAGCTTTGGCCTGAAAGTCATGGATTCAGCTTTTGTTTCTCATCATGTGGCTTTGGGCACACCGCTTCCCCTCTCTGGGCCTTATCTCCCATCTCACCGATGAGAGGGCATGGGGAAGGCGGGTCCTGTGGGCTTTGGCTTGGGCATTCCTGCTGGCCCAGTGTATCTCCAGGCCCTCAGATAACAGGCCTGGAGCCCTCCCCTGTGTGCTGTCACCTGTGTGGCCCTGGGCCATTCAGAGGTTGGTATGGACTCACGCAGTTGTGACAAGGTATAGGCCTCGGACCAGCAGAGGCCAGGGAGAGGGTAAGAGTTGAAACACTTGTCTGAGGGACTAGCCCTCTGCTTGCCATGTGGAAGAAGGGGTGGCCTAGAGGCTTGACCTTGAGGCTTGGCTCTCACTGGCCCTTTGCTTTCTGAACCTCCGTGCTCCAGCCTGCAAAGTGGGGATGGGCTAGTCCCTTCTCTGGATTCCATACCTGGAATATTTTGTTACTGAAAGGAGAGCCTGTGTGTGGCCCGAGGATGACTGGTTGAGCTGTCCTGCCAGCCAGAGCTTTGCAGTGGGGACAGACAGGTGTGTAGAGGAGCAGGTTCCAGTGGGTGGTCAATATCCACGGCTAGAGGCAGAGCCCAAGCCAGTCTGAAAGTGGCAGGAGGTCAGAGCTATGGGCAGGCCAGCTTCCAGCCCTGGGGCTGATTATTTTGCTTCTGCTTAATGCATGATGATGGGGGGCTCATGATCCTATAAGACAGTTTATTTTTGTGCTGTGGGACAGTTCTGGGAGTGAAAAATTCTTCCTTACTATTAATCTGAAATCTGTCCCCAGAACTCTCACCATTGATTGAGCCTAATTCTGACCACTGGAGCCTTACAGATTAATAATAGTAATACAACACATGATATACTATTTATGGATAACATGCTATTATAATAGCAGTGTTTACTGAGGGCTCGAGGTAGTGTACAAAGTGTTTTAACTAATGGGTTTTCAAATTCCTTTTAAGAATCGGAGTAAACTTGGCTGCAGGCTCTGTCGGTGTGTAGTTCCTGCGAATGTTCTCTCCCAGGCAGAGATTGGGACTTGGATTCACCCCAGACCTTCTGAGCCTCTCCATTCTTCATGCTCTCCAGCCTCAGTTCCGGCCAGCGGGCCAGCGGCCGCGTGCTGGGGAGCGGGGTGGGAGGGCACAGCACGGCTGTCCCACATCCCTTACGAGGCTACGATGTGTCACTCTATCTCCTCACCCATCTCCAGCTCCAATTCCCTCTGCCTGATGTTCTTTTGGAGGACCATCTCCTAGCGAGGGAAGACAGGAGCAAAATGAAGTCATCAAGTAGCTCTGCCTTGCCCGCCGGCCCCGGCCCGTTAACATTCAGGGCCCCGTTGTCCCTGTGCGTCCTGCTCCAGACGTGACTATCTGTCACAGGCACCCGAGCTGGCCTGGGAGGGGCAGAGCAAGGGCAGAGCAAGGGCAGATCAAGGACTCAATGCCTGGTTGGGCTGGTAGCCTCACCCCCACCATGGCCCTGGCCCTTAGCAGGTGAATGGCCACCTGGCACCTTTAGGATGAGGGCTGGACGCTTCCTGGGTGTTCCCTCTAGGTGGCCTCTCGAATCCACTACAAACACTCACCATTATGGCCCATGTCAAGGTCACCCATAACCTCCAGGTGGCCAAAGCCAGTCTTTAGTTCTCAGACCTGTGGCCTTTTGGCAGTTGGGTCTTCTCCACCAGGGCGTCAGCTCTCTGGCTGTTTCTTTCCAGCCTCCTCTCCTGGCTCCTGCACACTTCCCACACCTCGGAGCGTGGCAGGGCCCCAGGCCCAGCTCCTGTATGACTTCCCCAAGTTCTAGCCCTATGCCTGGCTCCTCTGATCTTGTGGCTTCAGGTCCTGTCCATATACTGACAGGTCGGCGGCTTCTATCTCCTTCCTGGGCCTCCTTGCAGAGAACATTCCAGACTTGTGTGCCCACTACTCTGCTCAGTGTTTCCACTTGGATGTCTGACGGGCTCTCAGGCTCAGTGCGCCTGGCCTGGACTCCTGACCTTCCCCCCCAGACCCTAGTTCCCCTGCAGCCTTGCCCATCTCAATTGCAACTACGTGCCCCCCACCACCACACCCCCTACCCCAAACTGGGTTGCTCAGGCTAGACACTTAAGGTCGTCCCTGCGTCTTCCCTTTCTCACTCACCTTGCATCCAGTTCATCAGGAAATCCTGTTGGCTCCATCTTCAAAATATTTCCAGAATCTTCTCACTTCTCGCCCCTCTGCTCTCACCACCACAGTCCAGGTGTGGATTATCCCAGCAGCTTCACAACGGTCTCAGTTGCCTCCTTATCCTACAACAGCCTTCTCCCACCCCTACAGCCGAGGGCTCAAGGGGTGCTTTTGAACCCAAGACAGAGCCTGTCATGAAGTGTGCTCACGTCCCCCATCC